TACATAGAATCACACACTATATGACTTTTTGTGTCTGATCCTTTTAAGTTATAATGTTTTTGAGGTTCATCCATGTTGTAGTATGTGTCTGTACTTCATTTTTTTATGGCTGAGTAATAGTCTACTGTATGTATATGCCACAATTTGTGTATCCATTCATCGTTCTTCGATGCTTCGGCTGTTCCCGTGTTTTGGCTAATGTCAGTAGCACTACTGTGAACACACATGTACTTGCATTTGTTCAATATCTATTTTCAATTCTTTCGTGTACATACCAGGAGTGAAACTGCTGAGTCATGTGGTATGTGACCACCACACTGTTTTACATAGCAGCTGCACCATTTTACATTATCAGTAATGTACAAGTTCAGTTTCTCCTCATTATCTCCAACACTTGCTATTTTGAACTTAAAAATCTTATAGCCATCCTAATAGTTGTGAGGTGGTATCTCACTGTGATTTTAATTTGCATTTCCCTAACAATTGATGACACTGAGCAGCTTTTCATGTGCTTGGTGAACATTTGTATATTGTCTTTGAAGAAATGTTTATTCAAGTCACTTGCTCATTTTTAAATTGGCCTGTATGCTTGTTTTTGAATTTTAGGAGATCTTTATACATTCTGGAAATGAAACTTTTATCATATATATGATTTGCAAATATTTTCTCCCATTTTGTGGTATGTCTTTTCACTTCCTTCATACATCTTTTATACGCAGACGTTTGATGGTTTAATAGTCCCATTTGTCTGTGTTTTCTTTTGGTGATTGTGCTCTTACTCTCATATCCAAGAAATCATCACCAAATCCACTGTCATGAAGATTTTCCCTTGTGTTTTCTTCAAAGAGTTTTGTAGTTTTAACTCTTACACTTAGTTCTTTAATCTAGTTTGAGTTAATGTTTGTATATGGTGTAAGGCAAAGGTGCAATTCATTCTTTTGCATGTGGATATCTGTTTTTCTCAGCGCCATTTTTTGGGAAGACACCACCCTTTCCCCACTGAATGGTCTTGGCATCTTTGTTAAAAATCAATTAACCTACATGTTTATACCTGGAATCTCAGTTCTATTACATTGGTCTGTGTCTTTCCTTATGCTGGTGCCAGTTGTATTTTGCAGTAAGTTTTGAAATTGAGCCACAGGAGACTACAATTTTACTCTTCTGTTTCAAGATTGTTTTAGCTATTTTGGGTCCCTTGAACTTCCATATAAATTTTAGAATTTATTTTTCCATTTCTGCAAAAACACCATTGGGATTTTGATAGGGGATTCATTGCAATGAGTCTCTGTACCACATTTGGTAGTACTGTCATTTTAACAGTATTAAGGCTTCCAATCCAAGAAAACAAGATGTCTTTCCATTTATTAAGGTCTTCTTTAATTTCTTTCAGCAAGATTTTGTAGTTTGCAGTGTAAGAGCCTTACACCTCCTTACGTAAATTTATTCCTAAATATGTTATTCTTTTTGATGCAGTTGAAAATTGAATTGTTTTATTTCCTTTTCAGATTGTTCATTGTTAGCGTTTCCTTCACTTTGGAAGGATAATTTCACTAGGTACAGAATTCTAGGTTAGTGGGTTTTTTTTTTTTTCCCAATGCTTTAAATATTTTACTCCACTTTTTTCTTGCTTGCATGATTTCTGATGTAAATATCCTTATTTCTCTATAGGAAAGGTGAGTTTTTCCCTCTGACTTTCAAGATTTCCTCTTTTTCTTTGGTTTTCTGTAATTTGTATGTGATATGCCAGGTATACAATTTTTGGTATTTATCTTGCTTGATGTTGCTGAGCTTCCTGGATCTGTGGTTTGGTGTCTACCATTAATTTTGGAAATTCTTATCTATTATTATTTCAAATATTTCTCCCCCTCTTTCCTTCTCCTTCCAATAGCCTAATATACAAATGTTAAATCTTTGGGAATTGTCCCACAGTTATTGGATATTCTTTTTCTTTTTCATTCTTTTTTCTCTTTGTACTTTGGTTGAGAAGTTTTCACTGATGTGTCTTCAAGCTCACTGAAGACTTTCCTTGGCCATGTGCCACAGTCTCCTGATGAATCATCAAAGGCACTCAGTTCTTCATAGTAGTTTTGATTTCTAGGGTTTCCTTTTGACTCTTAGAATTTCCATCTCTGCTTAAATTACCTGTTCTTGCATGTTGTTCATTTTTTCCCACTAGAGCTGTCATCATATTTATCATTGTTTTAAAAAAGAACCATTTGATAATTTCAAAATCTCTGCCATATTGGAGTCCAGTTCACATGCTTGCTTTATCTTTTCAGACATCAGGTTTTTTTAAAAACAGATATATTTCTTTAGTTTTTGGCTTCCTGGGTCCTGGTTGCTGTGTGTGGGCTTTTTCTGGTTGTGGCGAGCAGGGGTGACTCTTGGTTTTGGCGCATGGCCTTCTTATTGCAGTGGCTCCTCTTGTGGAGCACAGGCTCTAGGGTGTGTGGGCTTCAGTAGCTGTGGTGTCCGTGGTATGTGGGATCTTCCCGGATCAGGGATCGAACCCGTGTCCCCTGCCTTGGTAGGCGGATTCCCATCTACTGCAGCACCAGAGACGTTCCAGACAGCAGTTTTTGAAATGCCTTTTGTATGTCTTACTCTTTCTGGTGGGAGCCAGGCATGTGTTTTGGGCAACAGGAAGTGAGGTAAATAGACCTTTGGTGTGATGTTTTCTGTTTATCTGGTGAGGAGTTGTGCTGTTTAATCCTTGCTGTAGCTGGAGGTATCCACGCTTCCACTGCCGCTTTGGTCTTTGTTCTTCTTTCCTCTACTGTCATTGGATTCCCCTTGAAACTCTCTCTTAGACAGATGCTCTGTCTCATCTCTCTTAGTCATAATCCACCCTGATTATCCTGGAGCCCTGCTGATGTGGTGGCTGGGTTTTGGGGAGGAGAAGCATTCTGTAATCTTAGGATAAATCTTCACTTTTTAGTGGGCCAGTGTCCACGGGCTGTGAGCTTTACAAGAGTCTGTCAGCCTTCTTCCTCTCCCTCTTGTGAGACAGGAAGAATAGCAGGGGCTCGATTCACCCACCTGTCCTCTCCCCAGGTCACTGGCTCCAACAGCAAAGGTTCCCATGAGGGCAGGTCTCTGAGCAAAGAAGAGAAAGCTCCGTGTGTATTTCAAAATGCCTCCTCTCTTGCGTGTTCCCTCCCACTGCTATGGACACCAGGGGAGGGGAGTCTTCCTGCAAGATTCACCATGAGAACCTGGTGAAACTCCTGGAGGTAAAACTCACAGAAGACCTGGCACCCCAGTGGTTTTTACCTCTTAAGCCGGTCCACACTCCAGTGATTAGCAAGTCAGCTCTGGTTTTTGCGTGATGGTTTGCTCTCTGATCTTAATCTTCTGGTCATCCTAAGAAAAGTTGTTGATATTTTTCAGCTTTCCTTGTGAGTATGGGAGTGATGTCTGCAAGCTACTTACATGTCAAAGTAAAAGTCAGCATTGTGAATCTAGATGTTTTGTTTGTTTTGTTTTTTCCCCCATAACTGTCTTCTTCTTGGATTACTTTCTTTCATTCCCTTTCACTGGGTAATTTTTCTTTCTCCCTCCCTCATTATCTGTTCTTTTAGTTTTTTAACCTTTTACTTTATATGATCCCTGAATATTTTTACTTACTCCCTTAGCCCTCTTGTACCTACTATTTATTTGGTATATATACATTTCTAAACTCTTCCCTGATTGTTTTTTACTTTCATAAATTGTCAGTAAGTTATTGAATAAATAGATGTTTATTTGTATACTTTCAAGTTTTGGGTTTTCAAAAAGAAAAACTTCACTGTTTTGTAAAATCATAGAGCCTTTTAAACAACTTCTAATAATATATAACTGTACAAAGAAGAAAGTAAACATATACACACATGTATAAACATATAAACACCTAAGGCCCCACCACAAGGAGTAGTTATCATGAACATTTGGTGAATACCGTTTAGCTGTATCTCCAATGCATGTATACAAAGAGATAGACTGCAAAAATGAATGTGTGATCAAGGGAATCACACTTGACATGCTCTTTAAAAAATAAAAAGTATTAAGGGTTGTTTTTAGATAAAATTTTTTACCATAATGTTTTTGTTTCCAAAAGATCTTTCTAAAACATAAGAAGATTATGAAAACAGTGAAGTATTGTTCCTAGGCACACGGTGAGGAACGTCTCAAGTCATCTGTGATGAAAGACTCTGCTGTAAAAGGCAAACCTGAAGTGAAGGGATGTGAAACAGCTTTTTGACCAGGCACTTTCATTTACGTCATGACCCATCCATTTGGCTCCTGGTTATACCTCTGTCAGAGCTGGAAATGACGTCTACACTTCCTCGTGCTGTGGAAGTAAAGAAAGACCGACCAGGAAGACGTGCTGTGGACCAAGGGTTTTCTATCGAGAGGGCGTTGGCCACCAGGACTTGCGTTCAGCAGAGCCTGGAAGGTGGGCAGGAGTGGAAGGGGGAGGCCCCGTGTGCCCTGCTGGCGGCTGTGGGCAGAGGAAGCTGGAGGCGGGCTGCATATGACAGACGTGGGGCATCTGATGTGCCTGGTTTGGGGCACGTTAGCCTTTCTGCTTTGCCCTGACTTGACAGGATGGATAAAACACACCAAAGCTGGTGTGGGTCAGTCCTGACTGCCCGGCCTGATGGCTGCTGAGGCTACGGGCTGGCTTCCTGGCTGGTCGCTGCCTGACTGTGGGTCAGCATTCTGTTATCACATACAGTCTGGCTGTTGTCTGTCTGTATACTCAGTCCCTCCACAACTCCATGTCCGTTGTCTGGTCGCAGTAATGTCCCATTACAGCCCCTCTCCACCCCGGACTCAGGGGGCTTCCAGCAGTAAGACTCATCTGGGCTGTGAGTAAGTCCACAGGTTGGCGATTTGGGCTGGGCTTAGCCAGAGGCCTCAGCGGGGACGACTTCTTACACGAACAGGCAGCTTCCTAAGGAAGAAACCGAGAAGCGCTCTCATTCACGTGGCCGCGGTGGCCTTGGCCGCGGGCTGAGCTAGGCTGGCTGGGGTCCCTCAGTCCTGCCCCACGAGCCTCGCCTCTCAGGCCGGCCCAGGCGTGTTCTCCGCGGTGCCAGCTCGGGGCTGTCACCGGGCTGCTCAGGTCTGTGTGTGCCCGTGCGCTGCTGCGCCGACAGCCAGAGCAGGTCCAGGGTGGGGCCCGGATCCGAGGGTGGCGCCCCGGAGCGTCCGGGAGAGCGTGGGCGCACGAGGACGCGGTGGGCCAGCTGCGGGGCGCTCTTTGCCTGACTCTTGTCCCCCATGCCCGCCCGCTCCGCGGCCCCTGGGTGGGGCCACGCCGTACGCTCTGTCTGGGAAGACAGCTTCATTGACGGTAGTTCATTCGTTTTCACGTGCGAAACGTATCCTTACTACTTTTTAAGTGAAATTTTAGCTCATAGGTGCAGAATTTATTAACCAAGAAATTATTTAGAATGAGTCCATTAAACTACTTTTATGCAGTTGCCTCTGTGTTTTTTCAGAGCTCAAACGTAATTTGGCAGTAAATGTTTTGTGAGAATTTAAAGTGTCATACGTGTCATTCATATGGTATTTATTCTCACTGTTACTGAAATCTTCCAGAAGTTTCTATATGAAGTATCCATTTTTTTTTTTTTTTGCTAACTGCACTCAGTTTCTTAGTTCTGAGCCTTTAGGTAGCAACAGTCTTACACATAGGTTATACTTCTCATTCATATTAAATCCTATTATAATAACTGTCACTGTCTCTTTATTGCCCTTAAAATGAATCATAAAGAAAGTGAGTTTGGAGTATATTTAAGTACAGCAGGTGTGTGAATTTTGTAAGAAGACATCACGTTTTGTGTACACAGCAATGCATGAAGTTGAATACTGAAAGGGTCCAGCTGCCTCAGTTGTGACAGTGTCGAACAGGAAATAAACACCACGCTGGAACAAATGTCATGTTGAGAACTTTTACGAAGCTTAAACTCCTTTAACAGAAAAAGAGGTAGTTTTGTGTAAGTAGAAATACAAAAAGAAACTCCTAAAAAAAAGATAGTACATAAAAAATGAGTTCTCTTTTTCTAAAGTTGTTCTATTATATGATAATCCTCTGAGTGGCTTGGTGTGGAAGTGTTTTCATGTATAGTATATTTTAAATAAAGTTTATTCCTGTGCTGTTCTCAGCTTACATGTCCATTATTTCTAAATACATGTTTGATTGTCTAGTCATTAAGCTAATATTTATGAAATGCTTGGTCTATGAAAGTATGATGCCAGGAACTCCAGTGATATCGAAGTGAAATCAGTTCGGAGTCCTGCCCTCAAGGAGATTATTGTTTAGAAAGAGAAGAAAAACATGCACGTGAAGAACTGACATTGAGATAAAAAGAGCCGCCGTCCACTCTCGGAGGAGGAGGGACAAGCCAAGCCAGGGTGGCGGAGCTGGGGGGCAGTGATGACAAGGGATTGGGGTGAGAATGCAAGGTCAGAGAAGACCTGCGGGGGAGTAGACCAGAGACGACAGGAATGGGAGCAGCATGCTCAGAGCAAGGTCCTGGAGGAGTACGCGGGTGAGCAGCTGGGGCAGGTGTGTGTCCAGGGCTCGGGTGGGGAAGGAGGGAGAGGGGGACAGGCTTGCAGCGAGGCGGGGCGGGAGGGGAGGGCAGGACTGCTGCCCCCTGTGCCCGCCCAGGTGTTAGCTGGAGAGGAGAGCCTGGGTGGGGAGAGCTTTTGGGCAGGGATGGAGCAGCGTCAGGGGCGCGGGTGGGCAGGAGGTGGCCCCGTAGGACCCACAGGATGGGCATGAGGGGGGCCAGGTGCCCTGGAGCTCGGGGAGCAGGTGCGCGCAGGCGCAGGGGAGAAAGTTGAGTGCACAAAGCCGGCTTTACCTGCATGGCCTCACACCACCACGAGTCATTAGAATGGTTTCAATGTGGAAAGGAAGAAAGGTTAAGCTTCATAACCGAGGCTTATTTTTTCCTGTAGGGATTTCTATAATAATTTTAACAAAAGATGTCAACAGCCAAGAAGCACGGCCAGGGAGCCCACTTTGCTCGGGAGTGAAGAGTGAAAGCTGCTCCTTGCTGTCACTTCTGGCATTTCCACGGCTCCGCGCTTCCTGCGTGTTTCGTCGCTTCTGATCTCACGGAAACGGGCCAGCTGCTTTCATTCTGCAGTTCGCAACTTCCCTATTTTTGTTCTGTGATTATCAATTGTCGCCCAAATTGTGTCACCTAATTTTTCTGGGTGGTTGTAGGGGATACAAGGATTACTCAAAATTGTAAATGTTAGCTCCAGTTTGAATTTACTGGTTTTTAGATTCTGGCAGGACATCTGAATCCAAAACTACATTTAAAAAAAATCAAAACAAGAAGTCTCCTGGAACTGTAAATTGTTTTACTTGATTTTCTTCACTATGGTGTTCCTAGCACACAGCTCAGTAACCCACCCATGGCAGGCACCCAGCAACCCAGTGTGGGCTTCATCCTTTTCCAAGCTGGAGTAGCTGTGTAATTTAAACCTTCAGTTAGGGGTAAAAAAGAAGGACTTTTTTCTTTGATTCTGGAAGGATTTTGAAATCAAAGATATGTGTGTCAATTTTTAAACCATTATAGAGACTGTTTATTGGGCTTCCCTGGTAGCTCAGCAGTAAAGAATCTGCCTGCAATGCAGGAGACCCAGGAGATGCTGGTTTGATCCCTGGGTCAGGAAGATCCCTTGGAGGAGGGCATGGCAACCCACTCCAGTATTGTCTGGAGACTCCCATGGACAGAGTAGCCTGGCAGGCTACAGTCCATGGAGTCGCAAAGAATCGGACATGACTCAAGTGACTGAGCACAGCATGGCAACTATTTATTAGGATAAACTGTTCTTACTGCACTGCAGTAAGAGTTGGGTTTTAGAAGTGAAAAGACAGGTTCAAGTCCAGGCTCGGTCACTTAGGAGGTGTGTGTGGTCTTGGGCAGCAGAGTCAACTTCCTCGTGCCTTAGTTTCCTCACCCGGTGAATGGGAGTAATAATGTCTGCATTAGATTAAGTTAGCTGCTATATGCAAACTGTGAGGTAATTTTGTAGGAATCATTGAGGGAATGTATTTAGAGCGCTTCCCCAGTGCCTGCAGTAGCTCGTGCTTGTGGACAGTTGGTGTTTTTGCTGTGGTTAGTGGTTACAGGTGGCGTGAGGCACAAGCCGGCTGAGCGGGTGTTCCTGTTCCCATATTATGTGATGACCATTTCTGATCAGAGCGTCCCTGGTGAGTTCACAAGATGAGAGCGAGGTTGTGTAGTTCCATGCCATCTGAGTGGCCACAGAAACACTACAAATTATTTTCAACCATGAAACGAGGCCTTCCCTGGTGGCTCAGCTAGTAAAGAATCCGCCTGCAACGCAGGAGACACAGGTTTGGTCTCCGGGTCGGGAAGATCCCCTGGAGGAGGGCATGGCTACTCACTCCAGTATTCTTGCCTGGAGAATCCCATGGACAGAGGAGGCTGGTGAGCTACAGCCCATGGGGTTGCAAGGAGTCAGACGTGACTGAGCAACTAACAACAATGAAAAGAGAGGCAAATGAACATGTTTTATTGGAACTTATGCTACTTAGTTTAAACTTTACGACTGGATTTCAGACAAGAGCAGATTGAAATCACAGTTCTCTGAACAATGGAAATTTCAGTACTTGTAGTATGTGAGTTTTATTTATATCTTTTCCTTATTATTTAAAGCTCTTCATTCTTTGAGAATGTAGTAAAGTCCTGTCATTTCAGACCTCAGAATTAGCATTGAAAACATGGGATTCTTTACCGGGATTGATGAAAGTAATTTATTGTTTGCCGGGTCAAACACAGCATGCTATTTGTCACACTGTGGTTTGTGTATCTTTCTAGAAGCTTTCAACTTTGATCTGAGTCAAAGTACACTCAGTAGCACAGATGACAGAGTTAGAAAAAAAACCCCAGTGATGTGCATTGTCACTCACAGAAACTCTAAATCAACAAGTACAGAGACGCAGAGTGAAAAACCCAAGTCCTTTAAAGAGGCTTGTACGTTCTTGTGAGAGAGCAGGCCGGGTCTTTCTCGGCGAGACAAAGGTGCGGGACAGTTTATTAGTTCAAGGCTGAGCTCCCCGGGTGCCACCTGACGGCGCCTCTTCAAGGCCAGCTTCTGGCCCTTGCCGGTCCTTTAGGTAAACACTCGCATTTAAAAGACCTTGCACCGCAGGGCTCCCCGCACATAAAAGCAGCTTTCTTAAACTGTCATCAGAGCGGATTTCAGAACGTGCTTTTAATACTTACAAGGTTGATGTTTGCCTTTTAAAAATGCTATTTGAGATAGCTTTTTATTTAACTTTCCCCTCGGCCTGGCTTTTACCTGATGGGCGGCAGCATTAAGGAAACTCGCCTTGTTGTGAGACCAGACAAAGATTTAGGGAAACGGTGCTCATGTGACCTTTTGAAAGTCAAGGCTTTAAAAAAAAATCCTTGTTTCAACACCATAAAAACTGGATGGAAAACAAAGGCATGTAATCTTCATCTGAACATTTGGTTTCAGATTCTTTTTATTGAGCCTGTGTTGATTATATTGGGAGATAAATTAATTGTTTTCTGGGATGCCCTGTACTTCTATTTCCTCTCAGGTTTTAACAAGCAAAGGCTCAGATCAATAAAAAGATGAAGGAGAGAGGACTGGGATAGGGGACATTTGGGTATGCTTAACTCTTAACTCTTGTAGATTACGATTCTCATAAAAGGAATTTAGCTCTGTTCTTCAAGCTGCATTTGTAGAGTTAATTATTGGTAGGAAATTCAAGCTTGTATATTACAAATATAATTAATAGCTGCAAAATAATACATGGTATGGGTGTGCCAGAATTTATCCAGTCATACCATTATTTTTCGGCATTCCCTTTGTTTCCTGTTTGAAACAATAATATTCCTTTAAATTTATATTTCTATACCTGGAATATTTATAAAGTTAAGTATTTGGGGTAAAAAAACACACAAGCCTTTTTGATTGTACAGTTCCATACATTTTGACAAACACAAACAATCACGTAACCAGCACCAAAATCAAGACATACAACCCACCATCATAAACGTCTCCTTCCGTCCATTGTAACCAATTCCTTCCCCTTGTCCCCAGCCCCTGGCAGCCACGCAGCTGCCTTCTGTCCCTGCAGCTTTGCCCACTCTAGTATGTCCCGTGCACGCAGTCACACTGAATGTGACCTCTTGGGTCTGGCCTAAGCGTGATGTGCCTGAGATTCATCCGTGTTGCAACATGCAAGCCGAGTTCCTTTTTTACTGCTGAGACACATTCCATTTGGGGAGTGTGCCTCACTTTGTTAATCCATTCACAGCTTAATGGGCATTGGGGTTGATTTTAGTTTTTGGCAACTAGGGATAAAGCCCCGATAAACATTCATTTACTGGTTTCTGTGTGATCACGTGTTTTCTCTTTTCTTGGATTGATATCTAAGAGTGGGGGTCTGGTGGGAGTGCGCGTAACCTCACAGGATGCTGTCAGTGAGTTCCCACTGCGTCACTTCCTCACCAGCATCGGGTGCTGTCGGCTTCCCTGTCCTCCTCACAGCCATCCCAATACATGTGGTACATATGTAAGTGAAAGTCGCTCAGTCGTGTCTGACTCTTTGCGACCCCATGGACCACACAGTCCATGGAACTCTCCAGGCCAGAATACTGGAGTGAGTAGCCTTTCCCTTCTCCAGGGGATCTTCCCAACCCAGGGATCGAACCCAGGTCTCCTGCATTGTAGGTGGATTCTTTACAGCTGAGACAGCGGAAGCCCAATATATATACGTATCTATATATACACACATACCTATATATACATATACCTGTGGCTGATTCACGTTGATGTATGGCAGAAACCAGAACAGTATTGTAAAGCAAATATCTAGCAATAAAAATAAACAAAACAAAACTTAACATTCAACAAACTAAAAAACAGTTTTTTAAAGTGTTGCTTGAGTCCATCGTGGTTTCTGGATACAAGTCTTCTGGTGGATAAGTGACTTACAAATATTCCCCGCTTCCCCTGCCCCCACCTTAAAATCAGTTACTGGGAGTCCTCCAAGTTTGCTCTTCTTTTCCACAGTTGTTTGGCTACTTTGGCTACTTTGTCTTTTGCTATTTTTTTAAAGTTAGTTTATTTATTTACTTACTTTTGGTTGCGCTGAGTCTTCCTCGCTGCCCACCGGCTTCCCCTGGTTGTGGCACGCAGGGATGCACGTCTTCATGGTGCACAGCTTCTCACTGGTGGCCTTTCCTGTTTCGGAGCCCGGCTCTGGGCACACGTGCTGCAATAGCTGCAGCACTTGGGCTCAGTAGTTGTGGCTCACGGGCTTAGTGGCTCCTCAGCGTGTGGGATCTTCCTGGACCTGGGATCAAACCCACGCCCCTGCATTGGCAAGCAGACTCTTATCCACTGCACCACCAGGGAAGTCTCCCCTATTGGTTTTTGAATCAGCTTGAATGCACAGACAAAAGTTCCACTGTAATGTTCATTGGAATTTCATTAAACCTGTAGGATGGTTGAAGAGTGTTTTATAATCCATGAACACTGTATGTCTCTCCATCTAATTATGTCTTCGTTCCTTTCTTTAATCAAGGTTTTACAGTTTTCAGAATATGTTTGGCATTTATACCTAAATGTATGATTTTTGGAGCTACTGTAAATATTTACTATTTATGTTTTTTTTCTAATTGTTTATTGCTTATATACAGAAATATGATTCTTGTAGGTTGACTTCTTATATGATAACTTTCTGTTATTTCCTCTTCTGTGAAATCCCTGATCATGTCTTCTTTTTCTATTTATATAATGTCATTTACCTTTTCTTTTGATGACAAAGGTCCATGTAGTCAAAGCTATGGTTTTTCTACGAGTCATATACATATGTGAGAGTTGGACCATAAAGAAGGCTGAGTGCCAAAGAATTGATGCTTTTGAACTGTGGTGTTGGTGAAGACTCTTGAGAGTCCCTTGGACTGCAAGGAGATCAAACTAGTCAATTCTAAAGGAAATCAACCCTGAATATTCATTGGAAGGACTGATGCTGAAGTTCTAATACTTTGGCCACCTTATGTGAGGAGTCGACTCTTTGGAGGAGACCCTGATGCTGGGAAAGACTGAGGGCAAGAGAAGAAGGGGGAAACAGAGGATGAGATGGTTGGATGGCATCACTGACCTGGTGAGTTGGAGAAAACTCCAGGATATGATGAAGAATATCCCGAGATATAATATGCAGGGAAGCCTGGCGTGCTACAGTCCAAGGAGTCATAGAGCCAGACACGACTGAGTGACTTTCACTTCACTTCCTCAAATGTTGTACATGTGACAGGCACCACGCCCCTTGGCATTTTAAATTTTCAGGTAGAGGGGCAAACGTGCAGGCAGATGATGTTAGTCAAGTGCAGCAATGACCATGATAAAGGGATATAAGGAGATTTGCAAGAACACTGTTCAGTCCGGGGACGTGTACATCTGTGCACATCTGACTCAGGAAAGACTTCTGAGTTGAATCCTGGACCTTACTCAGTCAGGGATTCAGAGCATCCAGCACAGCTGGGAGGACACTGCCCAACCCTGCATGGCAGCCCATTTCCCTGGTCCTGTGAATGAGCAGGGAAAGGAGGTGCTGAGGGCGGATATGCACAGACAGGAGCTGACTTGCCATAAGATGAGTCTCCCTGGTCAGAAGCAGTGTTATAAGGAGTATCGGTTGATGAAAAGGGTATTGCATTATTCTATGGATGGCAGTTTTGGCGAAAGCATTGTGGGCAGAGAAAGCGAATCTCCTTTTGGAGCACCTGTTCTGGAGAGCGGGCAGGCCCGCCTCTGCCACGATGGAGACGCTGTCCACTGCTGTCGGGGCAGCTGGTCACCCTGTGGGCTGGAACCACCTGAGGGCTCAGCACTGGCCTCTGCTGATGGCAGCATGTGGCTCAGGGTGGCCGAGGCACGGTGGCCTCTGTGAGTGGGGCCCCAGCCCAGGCTCCATCCTCGTTGCTGTAGCCACTCTGCTCAAGAGTCCGTCCATATGGCATGTGGCTGGGAGAGAGGCCTCGGGCTCTCACAAACCCATCCTTCTCCGATGAGGCTGCCTTTTCTAAGCTTTCCACGGGACCCGGATACTTTCCTTCTGTGTCCACTGCAGAGGTCTCTCCACGGGCCTCCTCACACCTCGTGGTTGACTCTCTACCTGTTTCCTTCCAAATCTCTGATCACCCAGCCCAGTGACAACGCCTCTCGGGAAAGCTCAGCTGCGCTTCCTTCCAGGCAGAATGAATGGATGCCGTCCCTGAAGTCCTACCTGCTGGGTGGATCCCCTCAACCAGGGCTCTTCAGAGCAGCCTGCGTGGGGCCGGAGGGCTCCCGCCGCCCACTTCTGGGTGGTACCAGCAGGCCATCGCACACAACCGTTCACACACGAGGTCTCAGCTTTCTGTTCCTGACTCAGCTGGTCCCGGGTGCTCTTCCTGAGGCCCCAGGTGAGGGGTGAGCTGCCGAGGGGCAGGAGCCGTGTGCTTGTGCAGCGAGCACATGTGTGCTTCCGAGTCTGCGTGGGTCTGATCTAGTGCTGCCTCCTCAACATGAGGACAGAGAGCTGCTGTGGAGGCCCGATTCTATGGCACTGGGGTCAGACAGCATGCAGTTCATGGTGGAGAGAAAGAAAAAGAAAGGAGACACAGGGACAGGCAGAACTGAGAGGCCTAAAGCTGTTTCTGTAATCTGTATTAATCAGACAGTTGAGGATTCCACTCGTAAGTCAGTCAACAGATGCTCTCCAAAGAAAGTGATACACCGAGTTTCCTGTCATTGAGTCCTGCAGATCTTACCTCTGGTTTAAAACTCGCATCTCTCCTTGCCTTCCAACATTCTCTTTACCTTTACAGGACCATTACTGTGCAAAAAAGATCTCTCAGTTCCTGTTTAAATCAGTCTGAGGATCTACGTAAAACGCACACTCTGCCCTGACACTCCCCATGGGCAGGATTTTAATGGCTCCCAGGTATCTCTCAGTAAATCCCACACCGAGGGCCTGCAGAGCTGCTGGAGACGATGGAGATGACTGAGGTCCTCGCCTGTGCAGTGTAAGGTGGGCGGGGCCGAGTACCACGCCCGGGGCCCAAGTCACAGCTGTGAAGTGGCCCGTGTGAACTCGGAGGACAGATCTCTGATGCTGTGTCTCCTGACTCCAGCTTGTTCAAATCTCATCAGTGGCCTTGATGGGGAATTATGGTTCCCAGAGGGGATGGGTGGGAGAGAGACAGTCAGGAAGTTTGGGGTTGACATGCATACACTCCAACAAGGACCTACTGGAAAGCATAGGGAACTCTGTTCAATATTATGTAACAATCTAAATGGGAGAAGAATAGACACAGGTTTAACTGAATCACCCTGCGGTACACCTGGAGCTAATGTAACACGGCTAACCACCTGGACTCCCATCTAGAATAAAAAGTTAGAAAAAAAGAATCCCGTGCGTCAAGAGGACACAAGGCAGGGAGCAGCAGCTCACGCCCTGACCGGGGTCCTCAGGGGTCACCTCGGGTGCACCCCACGGGCCCCTGGGAGTTTTACAGGGCTTTGGGGAGGGGCCCGGGCACCTGTGCCCAGCAGTCCTTCCTGCCCGGGGCCCTCTGCCTTGGCTAGTGCCTCCTTGTGCCCCTGTGTTTCCTGGGCTTGGTTCTGAGATCCATGGCGTTGGCGTCAGGTGGGAATCTGGCAGGAAGGCAAATTCTTGGGCCGCTGCAGACTCAGTGAACCAAGAAGTCCGGGAGCAGTCCCGGATGTCTGTCCTTTGCCAAGCTCTGCAGTGATTCCAACGCAGCTACAGTCAGAGCTGCCCCCCGAGGGGCTGTGTCGCCCCCAGCAAGTCCTCATCTTTTGAGTCCCAGAGCCACCGGCTCTCAGGAGACTGCTCAGCTACCTGCCCCCCCGCTCCACGACTGTCCCAGCTCTGAGCACCAGCATCTCAGCGAGTGTGGGTGGCAGCACCTCTGCTGGACTCGGGGTTCCCCAAGGAAAGCAGCAAGGGCATCGATAAATGTCCCTGAACTGACTTCAACTAGACTGAACCCTGGCTCCCTGGGCACGGTGGCTGCGGCCCCGTCCCTGGGACCCATGTCCCGAGCCCGCTCCTGCCTCACTGGGTGCTGGGCAGAGCTGCTGACCCCGAGTGCTGGCGCTGCTCAGCATCTGCTTTCCCTCCTCACACCCTCTGGGCCCTGCGGGGCACGGCCCTCGGTCAGGCCGCCCTCTGTCCCAGCGGGACCTTCACACAGACCTTCCCACCTGCATCCACCTTTGCTTCTGCACCTGCCCCCAGCACCCGTGCCATTCTTGCCCTGCAGTGGCAGCGCTGACCTTGTGGAGGCTGGGGTCAGCCCACCCCACATCTCCTCCCCTCCGCAGCCTTTCTTCTTAAATTCTTAGAAGAATCTTCTACAAATGCAGGTGTTCTCTACGGCTGTGCCCCTGTTTCTGCTTTGCAGCATAAGATCATCTATTACTATTCTTTTTTGATCCCAGATTTCTGTGTTAGTATACCATATCTGTCTTTCTCCTTCTGACTTCATCCTGTCAGACAGTCTCTACAGGCAAATATATGGACACCAAGGGGGAAAGGGGTGGTGCTGGGAGGAATGGGGAGACTGGGATTGATCAGTACAGTACTGATACTATGCATAGAATAGATAACTGATGAGAACTCGACTCAACGCTCTGTGGAAATCCAAAAAGGAAGGGATATATGCCTATGTGTGCCTGAATCATGTCACTGTACAACAGAAACTAACAACATTGGAAAGCAACTATAGGCCAATAAAATTACTTTAAAAAGAAAAGAAAGAAAACCGAGCAGCGTCCTGGCCCTCTCATCATCCCTCTGAAGATACTCACTGCCCTGCAATGAAGGCTCAGGCCTGCTCTCCATTAAAAAGAAAAGAAAGAAAACCTCAGGAGGCATCCTGATCATCTCATCATCCCTGTGATGACACTCACTGCCCTGCAATGAAGGCCCAGGCCTGCTCTGCGGCCACCTGGCCGTCCCCTCACGCGGCCTTGTGCTCTGGCCGCGGTCATCCCTGCAGCGGGCGCCTAGCCAGGGCAGATCCCCGCGCGTCCTGTTCTTTCCCCTCTCCCAGGCTGGCTGGGCATCGGTCACGTGTGGCTCCTCCCAGGACAGGCATCTACTCCCCAGGGTGCCCGAGCCCCTGGGTTTGTCCCCGGCGGCACGCATGGAACGCCGCGTTGAGTGGGTGCATATCGTGCGCCCACCGGTCCCCTGGCTCCGTGCCCGTGAGGATGCCCAGCACACAACTGCACACACGTTTGCTGGGCACACAGGAGGCCCCACTGGGGGCTAACTCCGGGCTACTGCAGGGCTCTAAAGAGAAGCTGCGAGTGTGAGAAAAGATGCTTGCTCCACGCTCACAGACATCACCTGTGATGGGTAAAAAGTCCCCCGCAGGGAGACGACACCTGCGTGCCGTCCTCACGGAGACAGCCAAGCCGCCGGCGTAGACAGGCTGATCCGGGGGCTTCCGCGTGGGAGCCGCAGACGCGTGGTGACGTCACGGGCCAGGCGTGACGTGAGGGGACGTCACGGATGGGATGGGGCCTGGGCGCGCGTGCGCGATGCCGTGTGTCCCGGACCTCGCCTCCAGCCTCCTGAACGACTGGGTTGTTCTACGAGGCCAGTCCGCAGAGGACCTTCTCCTCAGAGGTCACGGCATGAGCGTTCATCAGCATTTCCCCCACTTTGAAAAAATGGCTTCCTTCCAGCCAGTGAAGACGGCCCCTCAGGTGAAGTGAGTGGCATCAGTGAAAAACCCGGCATTCTCCCAGAGCAGCTCGGGGCAGGGCGGCCCCTGGGTACCCCCCCACCCCCACCCCCAGCGTCCACCTCACAAACAGTGGGGCGGGGGTGGGTTTGGTCTCCGCTTCCCTCGTGGGGGGGCGGGGCGGGAACACCTCCGGTCCCCCCGTCGCTGCCGTGACAGAGCTCTGAGTGTGGTCACTCACACGCACACAGCCGGCTCTGGCGGCTCCACAGAGGAGTCTGGCCTCAGGACCCTTTGTCTCTGCCCTTGGCCGGAGGGGCTTAAGTCCTCAAGGTCGTGGCCCTGGTTTAAAATAGCGTCTGAACACCCAGCTGTCTCGATAAATCCGGCCCAGGAAGGAGACGAAGACAGAAAAAGGAGGAGGCCCTCTCTCGCTGTGCGAGGCCACTCAGGGTTCTGCTGGCGTGCACCCGCGGCCGGAGCTTAGTGCTTGGTTTCCAGGGAGGGTGAAGGCTCCATCCTTGGGCTCGAAGTGCGGAGCAGGAGTCAGGCCGTGTTAGCGGGGGTGAGGATGCGCTGGGGGCAGGCAGCCTGTTGTCCTGGCCACAGAGGTGGTAACCCGACTGGTGATGAGGTCAGAGCTGCGGTTCCACAGTTGACGGTGGGGGTGCCGAGAGTGGAGTGGAGAGTGAAGAAGTCACCTGGTATTTCAAGGCTCTAAAGTCATCTGTTCCCAACTGGCTTGGGAAACAAGGCATCTACAAGTCTAGTTTACTGGGTTGTGCACTGGGGTTGGGGCCCAGCGACTGAAGATACCTGAAGTTCCCCTTGGCCTGGTCACTGTTTCCCGTATTCACTCCCTCAAGACCTCAAGGGGCCTGAGGGCAAGACTTGGTGTCCCTGGGCTCCCTGCCCAAAACTCATCATATTGTCCCTTTAGTTTCAGCAACTAAGAAAGCATCCGCTGGCTCTACGGACCAGGTAGTTCAGAGGCCAGTCTTCTGCTGTTGATTTAAGTCTGAGTCACTAGTCACTCCTTTTTTTTTGCAAGTAATTTTGCTCAATAATTGGGTGGATAAAAGGATTGAAACCTTCAGTTCAGTTCAGTCGCTCAGTCGTATCTGACTCTTTGCGACCCCATGAACTTCAGTACCCAGGCCTCTCTGTCCATCACAAACTCCCAGAGTCCACCCAAACCCATGTCCATCGAGTCGGTGATGCCATCCAACCATCTCATCCTCTGTCGTCCCCTTCTCCTCCTGCCCTCAATCTTTCCCAGCATCAGAATCTTTTCCAATCAGTCAGCTCTTTGCATCAGGTGGCCAAAGTATTGGAGTTTCAGCCTCAACATCAGTCCTTCCAAAGAACACCCAGGACTTATCTCCTTTAGGATGGACTGGTTGGATCTCCTTGCAGTCCAAGGGACTCTCAAGAGTCTTCTCCAACACCACACTTCAAAAGCATCAATTCTTCAGTGCTCAGCTTTCTTCACAGTCCAACTCTCACATCCATACATGACCACTGGAAAAACCATAGCCTTGACCAGACGGACCTCTGTTGGCAAAGTAATGTCTCTGCTTTTCAATATGCTATCTAGGTTGGTCATAACTTTCCTTCCAAGGAGTAAGCGTCTTACATCCATAATATACAAAGAACTCCTAAAAGTCAACAACAAAAACAACCCAACACACAACAATGAGCACACAACAATTTAACTTATCCATTAAAAGCTTAATTTACCCTTCCCAATTCTGAAAGAGATGGGAATGCCAGACCACCTGACCTGCCTCTTGAGAAACCTGTATGCAGGTCAGGAAGCAACAGTTAGAACTGGACATGGAACAACAGACTGGTTCCAAATAGGAAAAGGAGAACGTCAAGGCTGTATATTGTCACCCTGCTTATTTAACTTATATGCCGAATACATCATGAGAAATGCTGGGCTGGAGGAAGCACAAGCTGGAATCAAGATTGCCAGGAGAAATATCAATAACCTCAGATATGCACATGACACCACCCTTATGGCAGAAAGTGAAAACTAAAGAACCTCTTGATGAAAGTGAAAGAGGAGACTGAAAAAGTTGACTTAAAGCTCAACATTCAGAAAACTAAGATCATGGTATCCGGTCCCATCACTTCATGGCAAATAGATGGGGAAACAGTGGAAACAGTGGCTGACTTAATTTTTCTGGGCTCCAAAATCACTGCAGATGGTGATTGCAGCCATGAAATTAAAAGACGCTTACTCCTTGGAAGGAAAGTTATGACCAACCTAGACAGCATATTAAAAAGCAAAGATTCATGGGGTCGCAAAGAGTCGGACACAACTGAGCGACTGAACTGACTGACTGACTGACTGACTGAAGTCCCTGATGAGAATGTAAATGATTTGCAAATATATTCTGCTGTCCCACCGGCTGCCTTTAAACTCTTCAGATATTCTCCTCTGAGACACGGAAGTAACGTGTTACTTTGAAGACAAACGAGTGGGGGCCTTTCTTGAAATTCAAGTTCATTGGTGAAGTAGAATTTTCTTATTAGTTAGCTTCATGATGCATTCAAAAATGATGATCAGACTTTTAAACCACATAGTCCACAAATTAGCAAATTAGTGTATAATACTGGGAAAATATTATTCACTGTTTAGTGAATAACAACAGCAAAATTTACTTCCATCTTTATTAATATGTGTAATATCGGCACTGCTTTTTTCTTAATGTTTCCAGATTTAATGTTGCCATTTTACTCTGGAATCTGGTTAAAATGAATAACCCCTTTGGAGAACAACAGAAGTCATCTTTGCTCTGCCATCTCTCACCACTTCCAGGTGGGCTTCCTTGACAATTCCCTCCAAACAAAGAGTTCTGCCAAATCAGGGCACAATGTATCAAAACCTCATCTTTTAATTACAGAAATGTTGAAGAAATAGTTGCTCAGGTAGCACAGATTGGCTCTTCAGCTGCTCTTTTATGGAGCTATTAACTCAGAGACACCATTACTTAAATGTAACTTTTATTATTACAATTAAAGACTGATTTGATTTTATGAGATCATGCATTTTTATTTTATGGAAGTTTTATAGTTAAATTCAATTTAAAAGATTGCTCTGTATTTAAAGTAAAATATAAGCAAGTACAGTGTTACAATTATACTATACTTCTTTTGCAAATCTAATGTTAAAACTTCCAGGCAGCTGATTACTTTGGTAGCATCAAATGTTTCCTGATATAACTACGTAATAGCCAAAGAAAAGCAACTTGGTTTATTCTGTTTGTGAAATGCCAAGCAATTGTTCACTTATTACATATGTCGGGCCTAATTAAGTTTATTGTCAGTTTTCTACCGAACATACAAATCGCTTTCCTTTTGGCTGATTCTCAGAGGAACGGGCTTCTTTGGATCAAAGTGATCTTTTGTTGGTACTGTATTGTTTGTGTGACGCAAAGTTGTAAAAATGGAGACCAGCACTCAGAAAGCTAGTTTCTGGTCTTAACTTTTCACAAAGGGAGGAAGTTGAGAGGGCTGAGCGATGGTGTGTGTGCTGCTGAGATGCACACGGCTGTCCTGTGGCCTTGAAAGCCAGCTTGTGACTTTCAAGTTTCCCTGTGATTTTTGAAGGGCTTTGTTTCTGATGGAGGAAAAGAATGTTAGAATATTTGCACTAAACAGATTAAGCTGCTGGTAAACATGTCCCCTTAAATGAACTGATGTGGGGACAAAGAAAGTGCTTTGTCGTTGCCAGCTGGGTTTGTGTGAAGTCACAGGGACAGACGAGAGAAGTGGCGGGCCTCTTCAGATCCCTAAATCAGAAAACCTGTGAAACGAGTCAAGACTGAGTTAGACTCTACTTCCCACCTATTTTGGCTAAAAACTTGCTCTTCCTCTCTCGCTTGCACTTCTTGGGAGGGAAACCTGGTTTTTCCAACGTAGAGTTAGCAGAGGAGCAAATATTACTTGGGAATGGGAGCACTTCTCAGGGTCTGAGCACTTGTGATCAGTCCTGCTTGGCGAGGGGCTGGTGGCACATCGGGGGCCCAGCCCCTGGATGGTGATGGCTGCAACCTCACTGTCAGCACAGATGAGCAGAGGGAGCCTGTCCCGCTCATGGTCTGGGGTTCATAAGGGGGTTGATGGGCTGATGGGGGTGCTGGTGGGGACTGACAGGGCTGATGGGGCTGATATGACTGATAGGGGAGTTGATGGGGCAATGACGGGGGCTGACGGGAGAACTGATGAGGGGGTTGATGGGGGACCGATCAGGCTTATGGGGGCTAATGGGGGGTTGTTGGGGGGCTGATGGGGGCTGATGGGGTGGCTGGTGGGGACTGATGAGGGGCTGGTGGCGGCTGGTTGGGGAGCTGATGGGGGAACTGATGGGGGACTGATGGGGGCTGATGGGGCCCCTGAAAGAGGCCATCCTTTTTTGGGGGGTTGTGCTGTGTAAACTTGTGGGATCTTAGTGCCCCAGCCAGGGATTGAAGGTGGGCCATGGCAGTGAAAACACCCGCCTGGGCCTCATGGAGATGTGAGTGAGCCCTGCTGGAAGCTTGTGATGTGGACACAGAGCTTCTTTCCTGTTCAGTGAGGTGTGTTTTTGTTGTTTTTTGTTTGTTTTTTCTTTAAGGAAGTTACCTCAGTAAGTAAGTAAAGTTGGGGATTTGGGGTGTTAGCTGTCAACAGTTGGGGTTCACCAAAAAGAGTTCAGAGTAACGACCAGGGGGATGTCCTGATGTCCAGATTTCCAGCAGGTCTTTAGCATCTCTTATGGGGATCTCAGACAAGGTGCCCCACGGGGAAGGCTGAGTCACTCAGGATGGACACTTGCGCTGGGGCTGTTGCACCTGAAGGTAGCCAGGCCCCTTGGGGGTGGAACCGGGCCCCCAGGTGGGTGTGGGCAGAGGCTGC